TGTTGTAGATATATTCGCCGAAACATATTTATTGAATAACCTTTTATTTCTGTTGCAGCTACGGAAGAAAAATAGTGTTCGCTATATGTTTATTATCAACGATAGTGGTGGCCATTGCAGCGGCATTTTCACCAACGTATTATTTTTTTCTTGTATGCCAGTTTCTTCTCGGAGCATTTCCACATAGTTTGTTTGTCACCGGAAACGTGATGGGTAAGTGAATACATTTATTGATGATACATTATACACTGCTACAAATCCAGCATTAATATTACAGCAATCTACATGGGTAGTATCACAAATAGGTAACATGTTGATAGAATACTGACTACACATTATGAGCCACGCTACCACATTATTGTTATTCGAGTTTTCCTCGGAAAATGTAATCAACTTTTTCTGTCGTTTCAGTAATGGAAATGATTGGAGTTAAATACAGGACAATACTTTCTTCTCTTACCCATGTTTCATTTAGTTTGTTCTACATGTTATTTGGCATTATTGCATATGCCTGGTACGGGAGTTGGCGTCCACTTCAACTCACTGCTGGTCTCATTTGGATACTCTTCATCCCATCAATTTGGTAAGTGAATATTGAATAAATTAAATATTATTTGTGAGCAATAATAACATATTCGGTGATGGAGACGCATACGTATTAAATTATTAGAGGAACGGCTGTGTAGATAAATCCAACAGTACTTCATTAACATTGGACGTATATTGATAATATGGCCACTTAAATACGTCTATCCTATAAGCCATGAAAGATATACTATTATAATGCACAAAACAGATCCGCCAATTTGAAAGCAATATTCTTCTAACAGGGCAAATCATGGAATTTTGTGTTCTGCTTTTGCGAGGTCAACACGCATGCCACATTCATGGAGCATGGGTTGTTGTATAGTGAAAGTAATGTGATGAGAATACTTAATAACACTTTATTAGGTCATAGGCCATACCGTTGCTTATGCCAACTCTATATATTTTAATTTACTTATTAGACAGGTTTAGATCTTCATCACATACAAACTTTACTATATTCCCTTTCACTTTAAACACTTTACGCACTATGAAATTTAGATTGTCAGAAATAGATTAAAAACATCTTTACGAAAGCATGCACCTGTATCAAAACAATTGATACTATATGTCGGTAATATACTTCAAAATCATAAGATGACATTACCCAAGTCGGTATTTAAAGATTCTGATGCATTCAATGGCTGATCTGATTTACATGATAGATATATTGTTGTTTTTGCAGACACAACTTCCAACAATATAATATTTGTTTATAAGTCATATTATTATGTGAGCTTACGGAATATAATATTTATATTTACAAACGAATTAACGTTTATCTTGCTAATCACAAGTTATTCGTAAAATATACAACTAATTTTATCAAGTAAGAATGGAATGTCTTGCCTAGCTTGTATCGAATACTCCAACAACAGATTATTGGCAGAATGCGTGAAAGTGTTAAAAACCTTATGATTAGTCAGAATATAATAGCCACAACAGCACAATAATGAAATCGGTCGTCGTGTAACAATTTATACAATATTAGATACAGCATATGCACTACTGAATTTGCTCATATCTAAGCTAACAGATTATGTATAAATTGTTATAATAACAAACCACTTTTTGCCATTGTTGCTACCTTAATTATGTTGTCAGTTTATTGCTTTGTACATGTGTTTTTTTCAATCGTTATATTTCAGGATTGTAATTGAAAAAATGATTACTCAATTATTCTTTCCTGTTTGTGTGAAGGTGATTATTCACAGAACAAACAAGATCTCATAGTCATATATATCAATGATATAATTTCAATCAACATTTATACATTCAGTAAACTGCACATGAGATTAACGGGAATGTATTATCGGACTCGGTCGCCTGATACTAAGTTCTGTGCCTTTAATTTGACTCTAATAACTTTCTATCATATTGTATGACGACAGAGACGATTTAGTTTTTCACCACCAATTGCCCGCACTCGCACAGTAATATCACGTTCTTGTCAATGGGAAAGGGGGAGGGTAGTTTCACAGGTTATACATTAATATTAAAGAAGGAGAACATAAGCATATAATGTCTTATCGTCCATTATTAAACCAATAGAGAATGTTTAGCCTTGATATTCCCTTTCTGTAAAACAAATCATTTCAATAATATTTGGAATAACTTCTGATTGTTGGATATGTATCTCTGGTTTTGTCATACATTCTGATCGGTGGGACTTAAACAAACAAACTGAATATATATCAAAACTAAATCGATACACATCCAATGAAATCGACAAGACGGTTAGTAATTTCAGAAATTATATCTTGTCATGTTACAGAACTAGTATCAAATTGATTTTAGGTTAGTGACCGAGTCAGCAATGTGGCTTATACAAAAAACGGAGTATGCTAAAGCGACGAAAGTGCTGAATAAATGGGCTAAAATGAACAAAACAGAAGTACCGGACAATTTGTTCAAAGAAGAAATGGAAATGGCTGAGAAGAAAAAAGACGGCGGGGAAATTGAGAATAAGGTTAGGCGAATAATTTAGTATGATTTAGTTGTTGTAATATAAGTTAGATCTCTATCGACCACGTACTGATTTCACTAGTCTATCTCAACAATTTCTTAAACGTGTTTGTATAACTGATCATTTTAATTATTTGGGCAAATAAGAATTAATGCGTGTGTAAATAATATATGAATTCTTTTAATTTTACAGCCCCAAAAATATACAGTTGTCGATATTTTTAAAACTCCGAATTTGCGGTTCAGTGCAGTTTTGATGTGTTTCAACTGGTGAGTAGGCGGCGTGCATTAAGTATTTTATATTACACGTGGAGACAATGTAATAATTTACCAAAACGATGGTAGGTTTAGTTGTATGTCTTACCAGAGAGATTACTACTATAATGTAACTCTGTAGTCGTATTTTTGTAGGTTTTCTTGCAGTTTTGTCTACTATGGAATCTCACTTAATACTGACCAGATCGGCGAAAATCCATATATCACATTTTTCATCGCTGCAGCTGTTGAAGTTCCAGGACGTTTTCTTGGTTGGTGGTTAATGAGAACTGTTGGTCGGAGATGGGCTTTGTGTAGCACGGCCGCTGTTGGCGGTCTGTGCTTGATAATAAGTGTACCACCAGGTAAAACACAAATAATATATGCATGATGCGAATTTTCTAATTTTCAGATTGATGCCAATCTTGGTCATTTCACACACTGTTCCGGCCATTCCACACGTTTGGCTTGTATAAAGGTGTATATAAACATCACAACCATTTGCGTGACGTAATGCTGGCCAAATTCACACTCCAACTCATTCGTTTTCCCGTACTAACCATTAATAAATTCAACGGAGTTTCCCATGTTCGAGCAATTTTTAATTTGGCTACATTTCACGCTTTTTTTTCTTGTGCTGCAGAAAATACAAATGTTTCGGTAACCTTGGCGATGATAGCAAAGCTGTGTATTGCAGGAACGTTCGTAATTGTTTACGTGTATGGTCTTGAACTCTATCCAACTACAGTTAGGTAAAAACGAAAAAAATATTTTTGTTTTATTATTCTAACATTAATCGACGTTCTGGCGAATTGTGGTAAAAAAGTTCTGCATTTTAATATTTTTCCAAAAATATTTTTGTTATTAGGAACGCGGGAATGGGAGTATCGTCGATGTGTGCACGTGTAGGCAGTATTATATCCCCTTACGTATTTCTACTGGCTGACATATGGGAACCAGCGCCGTATATTATAATGGGGGCGACCTCTGTTGTGGCTGGTTTTCTAGCGCTCCTCATTCCAGAAACACGCAACCAAAGGCTTCCAGAGACGATTGAGGACGGGAGAACATTCGGAAAGTGAGTTAGTTCATCGAGAAACTGTATTTTCAGTCAAACATTGTGAAATGAAAATATTGGATCGACGCGACATTGATGTGTTTTTCGTTCGTTCATTTTTTACAGGAAATCATATAAGAGAGAAAATAGCGAAAAGGCTAAGGAAAGTGCACGATCAATTAGTGTTCAAGTAGACATCGATGTTGCTGGCGACGTACTGAATAGCGTTGATGGTGTTGGGAAAGATGTTCATCCAACAGTTAACGGACATTTAAATAGAGCTTATGAAAAACAATCATAGTTGTTGTTTTTTAAAATAGGTTGTGTCATGCAATATTATTTTTTGTTCAATGACTTAGAAGCATTTTGTTGAACAAGTCGACATTTTCATTTCCGTGGAATGAACGTTTCCTATTCAACGCTTCTTCTCGGGTTTCAAAAAAAAGTCAAACGTATAATTATTTCGAACGTGCCAAATAATTAACAGTTACTTTGGCAATGTTTTATACTTTGAAGCAGCAACATGCTCGATGACGTTTTAATTTTGACAAATTTCAAATTGTTTTCCTTCAAGCGTGTCAAATATGCCTAACGTACAAGCATCTCGAGCTCAAAAGTAGAATTATTTTCATAATAGTGATGCACATGAAATCAGTGGTATCAATGTTTACCTGTGAATCAAAACACTAAAAAATATTGGGAAAGGTTTGATCAATGTTCTGTATAATCAAACCTGGCTGTCACATTGAGAAAAAAGTATGTTGGCTTATTGGTGGTGGAAGATGTAAATTTCTAAATGTTCTCTAGTTTCCCCTTCTCATGTGTTAAATACTATTTTTTTCTCTAAGACCTTTGAGTGTTTGTGCAATTAAAGTAAAATGTCGTTACCTCAGTGTTTATATGAATAAAAAGGTTAAAAAAAATAGCAAATTTGCATGAAAGTAATACCGGTGTTGCTCCCGATTGAAAATGTCATAGAAATAAACAGAAAATATTTAGTTTGAAAGCGTAAAACGGTTTTATAAATAGACTACACGTCAAGATTGAGTCCCCAGTTAAACTGGCACAAGTGTAGATGTAGAATCCCCACCCTCACAAGCTGTATTGACGAATCTCAATTCCAAATGTATTTTTGTGCAGTTGAATATACTGCTCAAAGTTCAACTTATTCAGATTGACCCATGACTATGATTAGGACTCTACAATGTAAATATTACGCCTACAAAAACACACATTGTTGAGTTGGGTGCGAAACTAACTGTAATAATTTCAAATGAGATGACAGATCAACATATTGTCCACGTATAATTGACATTGTGTCATTGACATTATAGCGGTCATATTTACTCCGCTCATTATGGTACAGTGCAATTTTACAGCGGCGATTCATTGGCGGAAAATCTAATTCTCAATTTACGGCGCACCGTAAGTTCATTTCGCCCATGTAAATTCCAATTACTGACTATTATTTTTTTATACACCGTCCAAGTCACCGGGAACACGCCCCAACAGCACCTCTTAGTCATGTGGTGTTTCCTACACTAATGCTCTATTGAATATAACCTGGGAACGAACGGTTGTGGTCTAGTCTGACCTTTTAGAGGTTAAATATTTATTTATATAATTTCAACATTGTAAGCGACTGTATTGTTTGACATTAATGTCGTGACTTAACACCAACACGACTTTATAGTACACACCCATTTTCGTCATTTTGA